GTTATTCTTCAGCTGTCTACAAAATGCTGCTTTTTACCCTGAAAAGCTCCCGAGAAAGAGTTCTGGGAGATGAAGTCAGTTTGGCAGTTTTTATTTGGGGTTTCAAGTTTCAAGTGCAATATTAGTCCATGATGTTTCAGTTCCAGCATATATAACCGAGCCCAATAGATGAAACGCTACAAACCTGCCAAGATCATGTCTGATTCATACTTCACCCTGAAATCAAATGAACAATATTTTGCATAATGAAAATTAAGGTTAACTTTAGGACCATTACAAATTGTTTTTTTGCATCGTGACTTTTATGAGAATAAAGCATCTACCCCCTAAAATTCTCATTGCTTTAAATAAAACATTGCATGCTGTACTGTTGTTTATCGACATTTTTAGACATTGTTTTTATTCTCGGTCATGATTCTCAAGATTTTTAAATTAAAATCTGTCAAATGCATGAATAAAATACCAGTACAGTCAGTACAAGTAATACAATTATGATATTTAATGTTTTACAATTTAAATAAGAGATTTTTCTGCAGTGTTATGAATTTGGGGGTAAATGTGTTTAACTGTCCTGAAAATCTTTATGCAGGACATAATTGCTTAATTTTTCCATTTTGATTTTGGGGTGAATATAACTGTGAATATGATATGTTCTGGACAGGTTTTTGTGAGATCCACCCTATTACCCTATTACCATCAATTTAACGTTAAAAATGAATGCATAAATAAAGAAAAATAAATATAAGAGCCAAAAACAGCCACAAGTGTAGCGTGTGCCTCCGAATCGATGCGTTTGATTCTTTCACAGTCCAGTTTGAGGATGTTCAAATATCATCTCAGTTTCTCACACCTACAGATGACTCATTTAACCAGAAACAAGCTCTACGCAAACTTCTGTTGCGAAATGTGACGTATATTTGGAGACTTTTCGAACCACATGGACGTGTGAAATAAATACTTGCGTAGAGTCTGTTTGAGGTCTAATGTTCCCGTAACGCAGCTCGTTCTGCTGAACTCAACATTCTCTGCACCCTTCTACTTTCAAAAACCTTCCCATGATGCTTTGCTCTCTCTTCCGGGAAAACCCACCCTCCTCCCTCCCTGCAGTCCTGCTCCGACTGGATCCTAGGAGCTGATGATCTGGCCCGACCAGGTCTCGTGTTTGGTTCCTGGTTTGAGGTGCGTGATGATCACCTCCACGGCCTGGACCTTCACATTCTTGGGCGGGACTGGACAGACCTTGTATGTGACCTCATCTCCCTCCACAGGAACGTACTCTCCTTCAATACTGCCAGAGAGAGATGGACGAGAGATTTACACGAACACATGACAGCAGGAAAACCTCTAAAACACTGTGAGATTTGAGATCTGACAACATTTTACCGTGATTCTTCATCAGAAAACAAACATGACATTTTCTTCTATGGTAAGCAGCACAGCTATTTCAAATAAATATCAGGTTGTATGTAGAAACTTTTTTTTTCTTGATTAAATGTATAATTTGTATTAAAAATCTGAAGAAAAAAAAATTATAAATGTGCTATACAACGTTTTATTTTTTTATTTAAACAGATTTAACAATATTTTTTTGTAGAATTAAACGTGGAATTTAGAAACACTAAAATAGAGTTTTTCTTCATACTCCAATAATGTTTGTTGAATCTACAATTTTGAAAATCATTTTTGTAGGGTTGTTGTTATACTTTTTTATTATTATTATAAATTTTTCTTCTATTTTTACTCTTGGTTTTGAAGTGTGACGTGAACCTGATTCTGATGACACTAAAAGCAGAAGATCACAGCATCTGATGGCTTCAGTCTGAACTCTGACTCACTCTGAGATGTGTACGAAGATGTCCTCTCCACCGTGAGCTGGTCTGATGTAGCCGTGACCCTGCGACCGCGAGAAGTTTTTACACACGCCCTTAAAAACGGGACCCACGTTTGCACGAACAGTCCTACAGACACACAGAGACGAGATTTACACAGATTCACTTGTACTGAACGCTCATTGTTGTGTTCTCACACAAGTGTTGTTTGATAATGCATTGAGTTAGTGTTCAGTGATGAATCGAGTTTGATTGGTCAGGCATGGCAGAATGCTTTCAGCACAATGTATGTGCTCGATTATTGGGGTCTGAAACAGAGAGGTTAAGTAAAAAGATATGATAAGTTGATGTTACTCGCTGTGTCAGTGTGATCCTTATCAAACGCAACATTTGGCAACGAGGATGGCTGATATCGCACTACCACCCCTGTTGAAAAAAACTGCATATGCTGGTTAGGTATGTTTTGATGCTGGGATGCTGGCCTAAGCTGGTCCTTTGCTGGTCTAAGCTGGTCCTTTGCTGGTTTAAGCTGGTCCTTTTGCTGGTTTATGCTGGTCATGTGCTGGCAAAGGACCAGCATAAACCAGCAAAGGACCAGTTTAAACCAGCAAAGCACCAGCAAAGGACCAGCTTAGACCAGCATCAAAACATACCTAACCAGCATATGCTAGTTTTTTCAACAGGTACCTCCTGCTCCTTTCCTTGCTCTACCCGGTGAGCCTCCGATTCCCTGGACTCGCTGGTTACAGTCCTTTGAGACTTTAATCTTGGCAGTGGGGCTGACTGACGTGAGCGCAGCACGCAAAAAAGCGCTGTTACTGCATTGCTTGGGAGCCGAGGATCAGTGCATGCTGGGAGCGCTTGAGTCGGGCACCACAAGCGATTATGACACAGCCGTGGAACTACTGATCGCACACTTTGCAGCCCCAGAGAGCGCTCTCTTGAGATGTTTTCTGTTCCGCCAAAGACACCAGCTGCCCGGTGAGTCTGTGCAACAGTACGTAGCCAACTTGCGGGGATTGGCTAGCACATGCAAGTTTGGTGCGTTGCAGGACGAAATGATTCACCCCCAGTTAATTGAACATACCAACGATGCAAAAGTGCATGAAACTCTGCTGTTAGAACCGGATGATTTATCACTGTCTTGGGCAATCACGGTTGCATTACGAATAGAGAATGCAGCTGCATGTGCGTCGGCTCTGACCAAACAGCAAACAATCGCGAACTGCTCGGCCCCCTCCCCCATGCCGCCATCGACGTTACAACCCAGCCAGAACGACACGTTGGCGGCAACAGACTCCTCTGCAGTTATGCGACTGAGGCGCCAGGAGCGGTCTCGGCCACGCCCACAAGCACCAAGGCCCTGTGATAACGGTGGATCATCATCTCATCTGTCTAGAGCAGTGGTCTTCACTATTTTTTTCATGGGAGCCGCACTGATAAGGCAACGTCAATCGGAGAGCCACTTTTACCGCGAAGTATCAAAAGTTACATCAAGTCATAAATAGCATGTCTTTTTTTATCAATCTGTCATATGCAATGCAATGCAATACAAAAAGGGGATATCATTCTTTATCATTTACCAGTCAAATTTGTAACTGAGACAAGATTATTAAAAAAAAAAAGCAGGATTACCTTAATGCTGGAAAGACCTTAAGTTATTTAATTTTTTATACTAGCCCATCATGTATCTAACCATCCAAGTGCACATTCGGCGTTAAGAGCTGTTAATATTAAAACTGGCAACTCTGCAGTGAGTCAGTGTCATGGACGTAGGACAGAGCAAGGGTAAATATCTTTTCTAGTCTATATTTCCATCTTGTAATGCCACTGTTTTAGATATTTAAAAAAAAAAAAATATATATATATATATATATATATACTGTATATATTTGTAATAGAGCAGACACTGTCTGACCATGTCTACACCGGACGTGACAGTTGTCATGCCGCGCCCTGCTGCGCTAAAAGTCTGTCTACACTTGACGCGACAAAGCAACAGTTGCAAATCATTTGAACGTAGTATCAGTACAGTTTGTCATAAATAGAACGAGTCATCAGTTTACTGATGGGGATCGTGTCGCATCGCATGGCGCCGCGCCACATCCAGTGTAGACAACATCACTGAGTTCTATTGTCTTTTGTCGGATCGCGCCACTCGCGTCCGGTGTAGACGTGGTGTGAGTTTTTTTAATGGGTTATGTTATAGCCCTGCTTGTTTTTATGAAATATCTGTATTGACTGCATGATCATATCATCATATTATTTACTGCCATGCAAGGTACAAAGTAAAGCTTGGCAATCCGCGCAATGAGTAACACTGGTCTAGAGCACAGAACTGACCAGCCCATGGCCAAACATGCCGTAACTGTGGTAAATGCAATCATTTTGCTTCAGTCTGCCGCTCCACTCCAGCTGTGTCAGCCCAAACACCCACTATCATTCACAATGTCTACTCTGGACCAGTCTCATTTAAAGCATGTTCAGTGCGCCTAAATGATGTGTGTATCCCACTGCTTTTGGACACTGGTGCCAGTGTGTCTCTCCTGAATATGCACACATACAGCACCTTTTTCAGAGCACTGCCACTTTCGGCACCCTCTGCTTCCCTCTGTGGCTATGGTTACTCAAAGATTGACTTAGTGGGTTCCCTGCAAGTGACTGTTGGGTATGGCAACAAGATGGTGCCCAGCTTTACCTTCCATGTTGCCCGTTGCGGGGCCAACCTGATGGGTCTGGATTTGTTCTCGGCTCTGGGATTTTCTCTAGTTGACACGAAGGGAGCTGCGATCCTGAAAGTCTCCACACCTTGGCAGCAAAAGTGGCCATCCCTGTTTGAAGACTTAGGCTGCCTTACTGCTTTTGCCCATCAACCTCTCCTGAACCCTGCCATTAAACCAGTCATCCAACCACTCTGACGCATTCCCTTGGCTCTCCGTGATGGTGTCTCAGCTGAGCTTAAGCAGCTGCTGGACGTTGGCATTATTGAACCAGTGGATGCATCGCCCTGGGTCTCAAACCTGGTGGTAGCTCAGAAGAAAACAGGGGCCCTACGGGGTGTGTCGACCTGCGAGCGGTGAATAAGGCAGTGATCCCAGACAGGTTCCCTCTGCCTACCTCAGAAGAGCTCATTGCTCAGTTCCATGGTTCAACCATGTTCTCTAAACTGGATCTCAGACAAGGCTGGATCTCCGTTCGGACTCAGCTCCACCCCCAGCTGTTTCCAAAAAATCATGGTGTCGGTGTTGGCTGGTATATCGGGGGTGGCCATTTACCTGGATGATGTGGTTATCTATGGGCCCACCCTCGAGAGTCACGATGAACACCTCAGCAGAGTCACTGCAGCCCTAGCTGAACACAAACTAACCCTAAATTCTGAAAAATGTGTTTTCTCTGCACCGACTATTGAATATGTGGGTTTCCGGCTGTCGACAGATGGCGTCACACCACTTCAATCACATGTAGATGCCATACTGGCAATTCCCGAACCCAGCTCAGCTGCGCAGGTCGCCTCCTTTTTGGGAATGACGGGTTACTACCTGAAGTTCCTCCCACATTATTCTGCTACCACTGCCCCACTACGGCGACTGCTGCGTAAGGATGAGCCATGGGTGTGGTCACAGGCATGCTCTAATGCTGTGCATGCCCTCAAGGTGCAGCTCACCACAGCCCCAGTGTTGGCTCACTTTGATATCTCCAGCCCCACCTGGGTGACCTGCGATGCGTCGGCTACAGCCATAGGAGCAGTGCTGTCACAGACCCAGCGGGGTGGCACTTGTATCTCTATGGCCGCGCCTTTACCCTAAGGACATATCACCAGGCCCTGACTGCACTACTTACCACATCTGGGACAGGCCACAGGCCACTGAGGCTACACCGCTGGTCCAACCGTCTTCGCCAGTATAACTTTGACCTGAAGTTCACCCCAGGCAGAGACAATGTTGTGGCCGATCTACTGTCCCGCTCCACTCCACCACCACACACACATACACCGACACAGACCAGGTGAAACGTGACATTGTCCAGTTGTTACACACACCCCTCCAGGCCGTCGTATCATTACAAGAACTGAAGGAAGCATCGGAACAGGACCTGGTTCTTTCTCAGCTCCGAGTCTATATTCTGAATGGCTGGCCTCAGGAGGTACCAGAGGGGTTGGCAGTATTTTCCAGAATAAAGCAGGAGCTGTCCTGCTGGAACGACACCTGTGTGGCACGCGGCCTCTGCGCAGTCATCCCCAGAACCCTATGTGCACGTGTCTTGGCAATGGCTCACGAGGGCCACCTGGGTATTGTGAAGTTGAAGCAGCGCTGCAGAGACCAGGTTTGGTGGCCAGGGATAGTTAAAGACATTGAGGCCCTGGTGAAAGACTGTGCTGCCTGTCTCTTGAGCGGTAAGACTGGTCACCAGGCCCCCCCCCCCTTACAACCTCTTACTTGGCCATCGCAGCCCTGGGACCACCTGCAGCTGGACATATGTGGTGAGATACAGGGAGTTCCTCATCACCAACACTTCCTAGTGGTTGTCTATGACCTTCATTCAAAATGGCCTGAGCTCATTGCCACCGGCTCTGTGACCTCTCAGGTTATAATTAACTTCCTGGACTCTCTGTTTTCCCACTGGGGCCTTCCAAACACTATCACTACTGACAATGGCCCGCAGCTGATCTCAGCCGAGTTCACAACATACCTCAAAAACAAAGGTATTCATCACATCCGTACGGCATACTATCACCCCCAAGCTAATGGTAGTGTCAAACGCTTCCATCAGTCACTGAAAAACAGAGCGCACTTGTTCCAGGGATGGATCTTCTCACGGGCCATCCATCACACACTGCTGCACTACAGGGCCACCCAACACTCTACAAGCTTTCCTCATGCTTGGCCGTGAGCTCCACCTTCCCCTCGACAGGCTCAGCCCCGCACTGCCTCAGGGACCACTACCGAGAGTCAGGGCCTGTCACCCACCAGCAGAGGAAGATGAAGTAGAAATTCGATTTCTCAGCACGCGTTAAGGTCCCTGACATAAAGGCCGCAGATTGCGCCAGGGTTTGCAGGCCCCACAGAGACAACAAACTCGCTTCATATTGGTATTCCCCTCTCCAAGTTACTCATCAGCTGGGCCCAGCCACCTTCTTGCTCAGCGACGGCACACAATGGCATGCAAGCCGCTTCCGCAAAGTTCCGCCCCCGGCACATACAACAGGTGTCAAACCTCAAGCCAAACCCCCAGCTTGGCAGGACACCCCAGTGCTTCAGTTGACACCTCAGATAGCTCCTGCACAGGCTCCAGACATGTCAATCAACCTGCCAGCTAAGATGTGTGCCTGCCCATCACAGGCTGCCCAGCCTCATTCCCATGTTTCTCCACGGCCTGTCCGCATTCGTTCTCGCCCAGGGCACTTACAGGACTTTGTGTCAACATTTCATGTTAGAAACCCCCTGGAGGGGGGGAAATGTTGGGTTCTCAAACAAGTGTTGTTTGATAATGCATTGAGTTAGTGTTCAGTGATGAATCGAGTTTGATTGTGCTGAAAGCATTCTGTCATGCCTGACCAATGTATGTGCTCGATTATTGGGGTCTGAAACAGAGAGGTTAAGTAAAAAGATATGATAAGTTGATGTTACTCGCTGTGTCGGTGTGATACTTATCAAACGCAACACTCACGTGTTGTGTGTTGCGTTCAGAATAGCTAGTTCCTGTAAATTCCGCTAACGAGAAACACTCTTAGAACTTTGGCAAGTTTCTCTCAATTATGAACAAACGTATTCAAGTAACGTTAATAGAACTTTAATAACATTATCAAAACGTTAGCAGAAAAACATAAATTATACAATGTTCATCTAACGTTTTATTTGAACATTTTGGTGTTTTTTTAATGTTACTTGTTTCAGATGGCTCAGAGAACATCCAAGTGTCACGTCATGGTTGCAAAATGCTAAAGTTGAACATTAATGTTTAATCTAACATTCACATAATAAGGAGAAAAAAAACATTGTTTAAATCTTTAAAAACTTAATGTTTTGAATGTTCCGAGAACATTAAGAAATAACATTTTTATAACTTAATGAGTTAGCAAAAGGTTCTCAAACATATATTTGTTAGCTGGAAATCAACTGGAGGGTGTGGCACTTGCAACACCAAGGTCGTGGATTCGATCCCCAGGTAACATACTTACTTCTGAAAGCATCAAATGCATGACTGTAACTGTAAATGTGCAGTCACATTAGCGAAATTTCGTAGAAATTTTGCAGGCAAAATAAATCTGTTGTCTGTTGTCAATAGTGAACCCATTGCGAAATCTGCGTGAGGGAATCTTTCACCCTCGCGAAATTTTTGGTTCCCAAACATAAATTATACAATGTTCATCTAACGTTTTATTTGAACATTTTGGTGTTTTTTTAATGTTACTTGTTTCAGATGGCTCAGAGAACATCCAAGTGTCACGTCATGGTTGCAAAATGCTAAAGTTGAACATTAATGTTTAATCTAACATCTTTAAAAACTTAATGTTTTGAATGTTCCGAGAACATTAAGAAATAACATTTTTATAACTTAATGAGTTAGCAAAAGGTTCTCAAACATATATTTGTTAGCTGGAAATCAACTGGAGGGTGTGGCACTTGCAACACCAAGGTCGTGGATTCGATCCCCAGGTAACATACTTACTTCTGAAAGCATCAAATGCATGACTGTAACTGTAAATGTGCAGTCACATTAGCGAAATTTCGTAGAAATTTTGCAGGCAAAATAAATCTGTTGTCTGTTGTCAATAGTGAACCCATTGCGAAATCTGCGTGAGGGAATCTTTCACCCTCGCGAAATTTTTGGTTCCCAGAACGTTCTGGGAATGTTCGTTTTTGAACGTTCCCAAGAACGTTGGTTAGCCAGGAAAGTTTTCTTGTAAATAGAGCGTTCCCTTTAGGTACCGTTAGAGGAACGTTCTATTTACGTTCCTAGAAGTTTTCCAGAACGTACTTACGCAGAGTACGTGCGGGTGCGTTTGGTGGGCAGAGGACTCTGTAACTCCCCGGGCTGCAGGGCGGGTCGTTCCCAAACGCGGCTGCCTTCTCGCAGGAACTGGAATGACAACGACAGTGGTGCCGAGCGCGGAGACCGCAGAGACGGGTCCGACGTGGGCGACAGCTCCGGTTCCGCCATGGTTACGGGTACGGCGTGCAATGCGGAGGTTGCGTCGGTTTGCTCTCTGAACTCCGGATGCCTGCAGAAGATGACCTGTGGGAGAAACACTAAACTCACATCACATCCAACGCGTTATTTCTGCCAGCTGCAGCTTTTCACTCTGACGCACGTTGTAGAGTGTGTTTATTGACAAATGCTCCGTGCACGCACTCTGCTCTGTTTTTTATTTGCAGTGGCACAGATTGTTCTGTGAGGAGCGACGTGCAGCTTCTGCACTGACATTTAGTCTGTGCTTCACAAAGCCTCTGTCTATGTGTGTGTGTGTGTGTGTGTGTGTGTGTGTGTGTGTGCGTTTTTGTTTGTGTGAGTTTACATTCAAGACGGTTTGCGCCCGGGGCGCGAGTGCTGCGTGCCCGGTTCCTCATGCACAAAAGCCTGCATTGTCTTCAAAGTGGCCTTAAAGAACACAAGAAGCCGTTCAGCGATCAGACTGAACTGTACATCTCTTGTACTGGCCGTCAGATGTATATTTAATTAAAAGGATAGCATACAAACCTACTATTTGTACTATTCTGTACAGTTTATGTGTATTGTGTACAGTACCCTGCTGGAAAACAACAACAAAAGAAACCATCACAGAATTTGTAATGGTTTTACTGGTTATAATGGGATTTAAAGGGGTCATGATGCTATTTTAAAGATCATTATTTTGTGTATTTGGTGAAACAAAATATGCTGACATGCTTTAATGTTCAAAAAACACATTATTTTTCAAATACTGTACATTATTGTAGTTCCTCTATGCTCTCAAACACATCGTTTTCAACAAAGCCCCCTCCTTTGACAAGCGCAGTCTTCTCTGATTGGTCAGCTGACCCAGTGCATTGTGATTGGCTGAACACCACAAGCACGCGTCGGAAATGTAACGTCCCTTACCATAATCACAAGCTTCAAGCTTTCAAAGTAAATATCAAGACAGTTAATAATGTCGTTAGTTTTACCATCAGTTCAAGCCCGAAAGGGCAACAGAGTCGCGTGACAGACACATGCAGTACACAAGCCGCGGTTAAGACCGCTGACGTGCTATGATTTCTGACAGACAGTTCACTCTCCTGTGATGTGACCCTGTTCCCCTCACACACACGACGCATTACTCTGCGCTGCGCAAAACTCCACATTTGAACAGTCAATAGCAAATACTTAAACTAATAGGCCAAATAAAGTGCTTTTGCTTTCGCCTAGAAACACAGCGTCTCCCTGACATGCTGCTTCAACACGACTGCTGTTCCTGAAACCACGCCTTCTTTCTTTGCGTGCACATTTGGGCTGCATTATGCTAATATTTCCACATTGTGACGTAGACATGTGGGGGCGTGTTAGAACGAGCCATTTTAGGTAGGCGTGGCTGACTCTCTTTGGATTTGAGACTTTAGTCTTTGCAACTTTACAGATCTTCTTTATGCACCAAGAGCTTGTAACACTCCAAAGAGAAAGGAAAAATTGAAATCGCATCATATGACCCCTTTAATGGAAAGTGTAATTGACTCTTTGGGTTTCTACTGGTAATTGGTCGCCTTCTATTGGTGGCTTGTTAAAACCACTAAATCCTAATGGAATATGGCCAAAAACACACTACAGAAAACTTTTTTTTAATGGTTTTAATGACTAAAAGTTGATGGTTTGTAATGTTTGTAATGGTATTTGTAGTGGAAACCAACAGATGTTCTGTGGTGGTTTCTACTTTTTATTATTATTATTATTATTGTTATTACTATTTTTTTGTAGTTGTGCCTAAGATAATGTAAGACAATGCTTACATTTCTATATAGCTTACCTTATATTTCCAGCCACAAACAAACCGAGATTAAATATCAGATGTTGTTTTTTAATAATCTCTATTTTGATTTGAAGTTGGATTGAAGTCGCAAAGAAAATAGTGTTCATTCTGAACAAGATCAGTCCTAACAGTATATGCTACATCAGGTGTCAGATGTATATTTAGGTTACTAGTCTCATATTGATAGTTTTCACGTGACGTCACACCCTTACAGGCACGCCCACAAAGCTTTGCTCCACTGACCGCCAGGAGGATTGCATTTAGTAGTAATATAGTAAGACAGTGATATTTATAGGTTAAATTCGGTATACACCTTATTGATGATGCATACTTTGTACAGGCAAGCAGAATATAAACGCAATGCGCAAAGTTTAATAAATGTTTTCCCATAGAACACCATGTAGCGCATTGCGTGGCTCATTTGCTTGCCTGCATAAAGCACGCATCATCAATAATGTACTAATTTAATCTTTTAATATCACTGTTTTAAAGGCACTATAATTGTTTTCACATTAAACGTTTTACAAGATGCACTGTTTTGAAATATCGCGACAGGTGCTTTATGGATTGCTAATGGCCAAAACTTGCATTTTGTTCACATATCTTTGTTTTATTCTTTTGGGAGATGATCTAATACTTTTGTCTTGTGCTGCAGTTATGGATGTTTTGCCCGCCAGGTCTTCGAACCAGCCACGTGACTGAAAACTATCAAAAGGGTTCGCGCGCACGCGGAATCTGGCCTCATGACATCAGAGCTGCTGCTGGTTCTTAGGGATGGGCGATACCACTTATTTTGTTTTCGATACGATACCGATATTTTTCAAGGCAGTATCGTCGATATCGATACCGATTCGATACTTCTGCACTAAACTTTTAAATGATGAAATGTATTAAATTATTAAATTACTAAGAGTAAAATGGGTAATAATAAGCACTTAACTTTGTTTAAAATGCATTTTAACATTCAATATGCCTTATATATTTCAACGTTCAATTTAAATAACTGTAATTGCACAAACTATGTAGGCTACAATTTCAGTTTGTTTATTGTGAAATAACTCTGTCCTTCTGTCCTCTGATAAGCATTGTTCAGGGCTGCCGTTCCCAAAAGCTTTAATGCTTTCTTATGATACTTTTGGGAAACGCAGCCCTGTTTGAATGCACTGTCAGCAGTGAGTGAATGCTCTCTGTGATTGATTAGTTCTGTCTTGCAACATTTGCGTGTGTTCAGATGAGCAGGAAAATAGTTCTATCCTACACAATTACTCGCTAACAAAGGTTATTCGTCCAATTCGATGCATATTGTACGCATTATATTTTTGTTAAATTAACAAAATCACTGGTAAATAAAACACACCTTAGTATCGATATTTTTTGTTTGAGTATCGATACTTTCGATACTCGCGTCAGTATCGATATATCGATACTTTGGATCGATACGCCCATCCCTACTGGTTCTGCCATTAATAACTTCAGCATCACCGCTTATGGAATTAAATTCCATATATAGTGACAGCAGAAGAATAGTAGGCCTATATGATCTGCATAACGCGAACCAAATTCGCAATGAAGCAATCACGTACACGAACAAGAGGCAGAAAAAGTGTTTACAATTTGACACGATGGTTTTGACTCGGAAAAATGACTAGAACTGGCGCCAAACTCGTAAACGTCACGTTTATGTTGAGGAACGCTTGATGGATTGAAAGATGCGATTCCTTTCATCTTCCGCTCAGCATCACCCGCTTCCAGAATGTTCTTGACGGAGGGCAGGGACTGTGCCTCAGAATCGCCTCAGCTGACTTACTAGACAGCATTTTTGGCGGCGTTATCTATGCGTTTATTTATATGCGCACAATCAATGCCTATAATAACTGCTGTCTAGAAGTTTTGCAAAACGAGAGGACATCAACAAAAGGTGGGCGAAGGGATGGGATCATGCCTAATAAAAAAACAAGCACCAACTGTAATCATTTTAATTCTGTTTTTAGATTGCATATTCGCTTATTTATAGTACAAGCATTACAAGTATAAAAACAGGCAACAATAAAAAATAAAAACGCCCAAATAAACGGACCAAATGCAGAAACTTACGGCCGCTGTCTGGAGTTGACTGATGCTTCCGTCCCGTCCTGTCGACCGCCGTTATGTAAGATGAGATATAGGCTACGGTGCAGGTCCGCAGTGAGGAGCTCGTGTGATGGAGGAGATCCCCGTTAGCACGCTTTTACCGGGAGAACCGACGCGTTCGTGGCATGCATCACCGAATCCCGAAGATGACGCACTGAAGCCGTTCAAGTGAGTCACTCCCATCACTAGACTGTCTCGTGCCATATGAGATTATGTAAACAGCAGTCTGCTGACAACAGCCTACATAAAGCCTTAGTAGTAGGGGTGTAACGATTCACTCGTTTTATCGATGCATCTTACGGTTACACTTTACTTGAAGGGGTGTGCATAAGACTGACATGACACCTTCATAATCATGACATGACACGTGTCATGAATATGAAGGAGGCTTTATGCATGTTTATGACAACTGTCATTAAGTGTCATTCGCTCAGTTATGTCATTTTTAATGCAAAGATGACATTGTTTGAGACGTCTTTGTTATGGGCTATGGTTAGGGGTAAGGGTTAGGTTAGGGTTAGGTCAAATAATGTCATATTTGCATTAAAAATGACATAACTGAGCGAATGACACTTAATGACAGTTGTCATAAACGTGCATACAACCTCCTTCATATTCATGACATGTGTCATGTCATGATTATGAAGGTGTCATGTCAGTCTTATGCAGGGGCGGATTTAGTGATTTGGGGGCCCCATGCTAAATACAGGAATGGGGCCCTATACAATTTCACACATTTACAACCTTGAGGTTCCTTTCACTGTCCCATAGTTGTGTCTAATCTTTTAGATTTTTCATGTACGTGTTATAAATAAAGGATTTCTTTAATGTTGTAAATCCCTTGTTCACATTTAAACAGGTTATAATAGTATTAGAGTAGGTTGGACACTAGGTGTCACATTTATTTCAAAAATGTTGATATAGAGACTATTTTATAATGTAATACTTACTTGTAATACTTACTAAATACTAAAATATAATACACTTGAGTTAATTTCAGAATTGTTAAGTAATGCTTGTTTTCATATCTGATTTTCACTTTTCAGATATGAATATGCAGCAGAGAGTGGCATGCAGTGACATCTGCTGTCCATTGATGCTCCTCCAACAATCTCCTCAAAGATCTGCAGGTCATCCAGCGTGTAGTATATTACACATGCTTAGAGGGCACTGCTGAGAATATGTTTAGCATTAACATTAGTAGGGTTAAATAGGGTGATTTCGGGAAATTTGGGACATTTTTTGCAATTTTGACTTCTGCCATTTATTTCGATATCTATTTAACACATTAGATCAGCACATTCAACTTTTCTGAAATCCCTAAGATGCTTTCTAACCACACCAGAAGAAAGAATGAAGATATTATACCCAGAGGAGACATGCCACACCTATTAGTGTTTTTTGTGGCAAAAAAATATAAATTCTGCCTGAATTTGATAATCTGGAACATATGTATTAGGCCTAAAAAAAAGCCTGTATTCATCATTATGCATGCCAAACACAATATCAGCAATTTTTAAAAAGCATTATGAAAAAAAAGACAAGTAGGTCTACAGAGATCTCAATAAGAAAATGTGCATTCCAATATCAGGAAAAATAATTTGCATCACAGGATTAACAATCTACTGTGTTAATTCATTTAGAACTCTATTCAAATTGTTTAAAAAAAAATTAACATTTTTAAAAATCAACTAAAATGTAAGCAACAGCAAGCAACAATTTGATTAATGGATTATTCCTTCGGTTATTCAAGTTCACCATTCTATTCAAATTGGGGCTACTCGGGGGAACAATATTGAATAGATCACAAACATAATTTGACAACAATTAGGAACATTGTCTTATTTATGACAGATTTATGTCCTTAACATTAACACCCATTTCTCATTATGGCATATATTAGCCCTTGTCATTAGACTTATAAATGCATATTTCCTCCATTTGAAGACTGTCCCAGATTACCCAGAACATGCTGTCCCACATTCTCAATCATATTTGATCATGTGGGACAACAAAAAATGTTTGAAAGAAGAAAAAAAAAACTAAAACACGTTTTCAACACTTTAATACATATTTTGTTGCTTGAATAGATCACAAACATAATCTGACAACAATTAGGAACATCTTGTCTTATTCATGACAGTTTTATGTCCTTAACATTAATCTAGTCAGAATCCTTTGTCACTGACCTTGTCCTGCATTTCCAGGAGAGCTTCTTGATTGACAAGTGCCCCGCCCCTTTCTGTGGAATCACCCCAATTTCAGTCACATGACATCCATGCTAAAATTGTAATAAAAGTCCTGTTGACTAATTTAGTTAGAACAGAAAATAAATAAGATGGAGCTTAGATGTCCCAGATTACCTGAATTCACCCTATAATTTGTTCGACCAGTGTTGATATACGTTAAAGAAATGTTGTTAAACCATGACCTCTGACGTTCTCACTCAAAGAACACGTGAAAGTACTTTTTAAAGTAAAGATTCATTAGACATTTTTCTAAAAATGTAAAACAACACCAAAAATGGTCATTAAAGTAGGCCTACGTCAAATTTTAATTCTTAAAATCTAATATAATTCCTGATGGGAAAATAGTCCAAAAGCCAATAAAGAGCTCTGACCAAGATGCTTTTCTAATTTGTGTTTGGGGCTTTAGGTTGATGTCCCTTAACATTAACACCCATTTCTCATTATGGCATATATTAGCCCTTGTCATTAGACTTATAAATGCATATTTCCTCCATTTGAAGACTGTCCCAGATTACCCAAAACATGCTGTCCCACATTCTCAATCATATTTGATCATGTGGGACAACAAAAAATGTTTGAAAGAAGAAAAAAAAACTAAAACACATTTTCAACACTTTAATACATATTTTGTTGCTTGAATAGATCACAAACATAATCTGACAACAATTAGGAACATCTTGTCTTATTCATGACAGTTTTATGTCCTTAACATTAATCTAGTCAGAATCCTTTGTCACTGACCTTGTCCTGCATTTCCAGGAGAGCTTCTTGATTGACAAGTGCCCCGCCCCTTTCTGTGGAATCACCCCAATTTCAGTCACATGACATCCATGCTAAAATTGTAATAAAAGTCCTGTTGACTAATTTAGTTAGAACAGAAAATAAATAAGATGGAGCTTAGATGTCCCAGATTACCTGAATTCACCCTATAATTTGTTCGACCAGTGTTGATATACGTTAAAGAAATGTTGTTAAACCATGACCTCTGACGTTCTCACTCAAAGAACATGTGAAAGTACTTTTTTAAGTAAAGATTCATTAGACATTTTTCTAAAAATGTAAAACAACACCAAAAATGGTCATTAAAGTAGGCCTACGTCAAATTTTAATTCTTAAAATCGAATCTAATTCCTGATGGGAAAATAGTCCAAAAGCCAATAAAGAGCTCTGACCAAGATGCTTTTCTAATTTGTGTTTGGGGCTTTAGGTTGATGTCACGTTCCATTTACTCTGCTTTTCATTTCACATATCTTCTAACTCAAAACTCATTGCTTCGTTATGTTGTTAAGAGACTCCAATTCCCATCATGCACGTCGCCACGCCCCCCGTTGAGTGGACGCTGCGCTCGACCAATGGCCGACCGCTCCTCGCGTCTCTCAGCCAATGGCTGCATTGTTGCTATGCCATCTTTTATTTTTAGCCTTCCGTCGCACAGCCTCACATTTTGGAAACATTATTTCGCCAAATTAAATAGAGACTAAGTGAAACAAACATACACCTGCTTCAGGAATACCTCTGAGACCAATACAAATGTAAAATCAGTATGATTTTTAACATTATATGGATTATACAGTAGTTAAAACCTGCTATAGTATTAAAGGTAAACTGCTTAAAATCGAGATTTGTATCATAAAGTTGAAATGCGTGCAGAGCGCTTTAACAAACTCTTGGCCGCTTATCCAGCTGGGTGGGTTGAGTTATTGCGCAAGCTCTGATCAGTAAGTAGTTCCAGCTGAAGCACGCCACACAGCAGGGATATAAATGCGCGAGGTTGTCAAACACTGAAGTTTCGACGGGCGCGTGGACACGTCACGCATATGCCATGAATTAAACATAAAGTTAAATAAAATAGAAGTGCGTTTCAGTCAAACGCAACACTATAGGCAGCGGTTCTCTGTGAGTGATTTTTTTCCAACGCCATAAGCACGCATAATTATTGATACTTGTGTGATTAATGGATATGACAAGCACAGGACAGAAACACTAGCTTTGGATCAGTAAGTACTTTATTCATTTGTTTAAATAACCAACTGCTTTCATCAGAATGTATTGGCGCTGGACATGATGTTGAAAGGATAGATTCATAATGTTTTTCTGTTGAATGAGGGATGAGTTGTCGTCCATTTTAGATTGTCATAAAGTAACCAATTTTAAAGATACAATAATATGGCGCCAGTTGATCATATTTGAGGCATTTGCATATAACACTATTGAAACCCTGGATGAATGCGTGTTTGCACGGATGTTGATGGTGTGCTGAGATGACTAACACAGGCCAAAGGTTTGCTGGCCATTTGTAAGCCCATTTCATATCTGAGTGACAAATAACTTTAGAACATGTTGTTCTAATGCTTGGTAAAACGGTGCAACATGAATTATAATGTTAGGATTTGTGGCTTTGAATTAATCCTCTCTGGATACTCTTGGAGTTAGATAATTAGTTAATCTAGTTTTCTTAAAAGAAATTAAGTTTCTTTGAGAGAACACACACTCACACACAGCAGCCCATCTGCTTTAATTGTTTCTATTGTCATGCAACACCATTATGTTTGAATGTGCTGTGTTGGATAAGTGTTTGGTTCCATTTTTTTTAATACAAGTTAAAGTCAAGAGTGCGATATGTTTGATTGGTGTTTCGATGAAGCTGATGTGGTTTAGTTTCGGGAGATAATGTGAATCTGCTGGATGTTTTGTGACAGATGGGGAGTGTAAACAAACAATCAGGCTTGTGGATAATTGTTTGGTAACGGAATAAAAAATGTCTGTCTGTCGCCTAAATATTTAATGCTATGGCATTTGATCAAACTCTGACATTGAGTGACATTGAATGCATGATATGACTTTTTATAGAGACCCGTTTAGTTTAGTCTTTTTCATCAGTTAGCATATCAATATAATAAATGGCGTCAGATTTATTTGGAAACGCTGCAACTGACATTATTCACGCGTTGTGAATGAGATAAATGCACAAGGAAAAAGTCAGATCACTTAACATCTGTCTACATATCTAAACCGTGTTTTAAGTTTGTAAATGGCTGCATGATTAAATACCAGTGCTGGTATTCATGATTTATTGGAACGTCTGCGTATGAGCGCGATATTTAGGTAAAGGCGTCTCTGTTCTGAATAATCATAATCCGTTTCATGACCGGTCAGGCTTGTGGATAATTGTTTGGTAATGGAATAAAAAATGTCTGTCTGTCGCCTAAATATTTAATGCTATGGCATTTGATCAAACTCTGACATTGAGTGACATTGAATGCATGATATGACTTTTTATAGAGACCCGTTTAGTTTAGTCTTTTTCATCAGTTAGCATATCAATATAATAAATGGCGTCAGATTTATTTGGAAACGCTGCAACTGACATTATTCACGCGTTGTGAATGAGATAAATGCACAAGGAAAAAGTCAGATCACTTAACATCTGTCTACATATCTAAACCGTGTTTTAAGTTTGTAAATGGCTGCATGATTAAATACCAGTGCTGGTATTCATGATTTATTGGAACGTCTGCGTATGAGCGCGATATTTAGGTAAAGGCGTCTCTGTTCTGAATAATCATAATCCGTTTCATGACCGGCAGTGACTGTCCTCATGTGTGCTGCAACTCACCGCGGATTCGCCTTTATTCGAAATGTATAACAAGGGTGGTGCATTTATAAAACGGGTTTTAACGGAGCTTATCAGTGTTTTGAAAATGCGGAGGCGTCACATCAACAGTTACACGCGTGGTGATGACGTCAAAGGCGGCGTCGTGGTGCATGCTGGGAGGTGTAGTTTTAACCCCTGCCTTAAACCGCACCATTTTATCAGCAGTTTATAGGGTTTCCCCTCAGATGGTTTCAACCGAAATGCACAAATATGATCCTTAGCTAATGTATGTAGAATATATTACAGTAAGTGTACGTGATGCCGTTACATGAGTGACTTAAAGATGTTATTCACTGGGTTTAAAGGATAAATATATCCTTGTAGAGCATTCCCTTTTAGCGTTTTGAGCTAGTGTGAGTGGACCAAGTGCATTTGGTGGTAAATGTCCCTCTCTTAGCACATGTAATCCGAAGTGCTTTAGCCAGAGGGACAGAAGAGGGATTTCATGAAGATAATCATGGATTGGTACCTTGGCCTCAGCATCGGCTGAAACAAACAAACATGCACACTGACAGTCAATGAATTGAGTATTAATATTCGGTTTAACTGGTCTGTCTTTGTCTTTCTAGAGGCTTTGAAGAAACTGGATCATGGAGAGCTGCTGTCTTCATACGTCAGTGTTTCGGGGTGAAGATTTTTAAAAATCAGCTGTCTCTGACAAGCAATTTTTACGCAATTTCTGAGCAGCAATCCAAAATCAGAGGCCCTTGGTTTTAAATTGATGCTTTCTGTCTTCATACGTCAGTGTTTCGGGGTGAAGATTTTTAAAAATCAGTCTCTGACAAGCAATTTTTACGCAATTGCTGAGCAGCAATCCAAAATCAGAGGCCCTTGGTTTTAAATTGATGCTTAAGGCTAAGACTGAAAACTTTCACCTTGATGTTCGCAAGAGATGTTAGGACTGTTGTAAGTCTAACCGAAGGAACTTTCAAGACATAATCAAATTCATCATGCATCTGGAGGTGAAGGTTGCGTTGAACTTCATCGTGTCCTACTTGTACAACAAGCTCCCACGCCGTAGGGCGGATCTGTTTGGCGAGGAGTTGGAGCGTATCCTGGTGTCCCGCTTCGAAGGGCACTGGTACCCTGAGGCTCCTTTACGTGGTTCTGCCTTCCGCTGCCTCCATCTGGGTGCTCCCAGGGACCCTGTGGTGGAGCTGGCAGCCAGGAGGAGCGGTCTGGACACCGAAGAGGTCCGTGCCAATGTTCCCCCCGAGCTCAGCATTTGGATCGACCCTTACGAAGTGTCCTACCAGATTGGGGAGAAGGGTGCTGTGAAAGTCCTCTACACGGAGGACCTGCCAGGTTTAGGGTGCGACAGCGAAAGGTTTGATGTCACTCTCAAAGGAGACATGGAATTCGAGGACGTCAAGAGTCTGGGCTTTAACCCAGAGGCTCAGGTGTTCATACCCATCGGTGGCCAGGTGTCACCGGTCATGCTACCCTCACTCTCCAGTTCGCCAACTCCTCTTTCTACCTCATCTTGCCCGGGACTCTTCGGTTACACCACTCCCACCAATCCCAGCGCTCATTCATCCAACACATCCACCCCCTCGCCACCAAGCGCTGGTCTTTTGTACTCCACTCCCAACCCCCGGCCCGCACCTCAGCCGATCACCTTCACCACAGCCAGCTTTGCCGCCACCAAATTTGGCTCCACCAAGATGAAGTGCGGGAACCCCGGAGTTGCTTCTGGTTCTGGCGTCGCCACGGCCCCGCAACAGAGGATGATCACGCGCTCCCCCAGCACCATCTCCCCACCGGGGCTGGTCAGGCACAAACCCCTTTCCCTCTCCATGCACTCTCTAGCTGGACCCATCCCAAGCCAGTTGTCTCCTAATGCCAAAGAGTTTGTGTTTCCCGCTTCCCAGAGGCTCATCTACTTTGACACCGAAGGTCCGCCAATGACGCCGTTCCAGGCTCCGCACCCACACGCCTCCTTCGATCCATTCTCTAGTCCACAACCAGGTCAGGCTGTGGGAATCATTGGAGGCAACAGTGGAATTTCCTACATTGATAAACCTCCATTCGTGGAAGGACTCGGATACAACCTGCAGTATTCCGACCAGGCCTTCCAACCTGTGGTGCTGGCCAACTAAAGTCTCCGAGTTGAAGCGATCCCAATGCTGAAACACTTTCCTTGAGAATTTTTTCCTCTCCATGAATCACTGTTACTACCACCATGATAAATCAAGAGTATTATGACTACTAATTGAGTATTACTTGTGATTGTTACTTTTCCGTTCATTTGTTTCTTGTTTCATGATGATTTCCAGTCTGATGTAACCAGCCTCCTGTTGCACAGGTGTTTTTGTGTTTGTTGTTTTCAGTAATGAGTCACTTTATCGCCCAAATGTTTCTTTATAATCTTTGTTTAATGCTACTTTTTAAAATTGATTCTGGGAAAAAAAGCTAATATTCTTAGAGAAGATTCTAGATGCCTAAAAGGGATTTTTGGGATGGTGTTTATGTTCAGAAACATAACGCTCTGGAGATTACAGCCACATTAACAGTTCGGTCACACCTCAGTTGTCATAATTGAAGATTAATGGTAATTTTATGACATGTCCTCTGAACCGATGTGGGTCTTGTGCTCTTGAGCTGATGATTAAGAGGCAGTTCATGTTTGGTATGTTGGGTTAGCTTTAGGATTGTCCTTTACAGTTTGAACACATTGAGCCAAATCCTGATGAAACCAGCCAGTGTTTATACCCGTTTCTAGTGCGTCAGATTGGGAATTGATGTTGTATATTTTCATTCTGGCAGATCTGGTAAATTCAGACACCGAAGACGATTGATTGCTGGATTGTTGCGTGAGTCTGATTGGTTTCACACTTGGGTTCCTGGTCAGAAGTGCGTGAAGGTACTGGTTGGAGCTTTTGATAAACTGCTGAGTGTCTTTGAAGGAATAGGACATGAGATTAAAGGTCATTGGTGCGGAGATGCACAGATTATCTTATGCGCGTGTTGAATTTAGTGCTTTATTTTTACGTTCCAGAGGTTGTAAATGGTGGTTTGCAAGAGATGCTACAGTGAAAATTGCACTTTTTCTCCGCTCAAGGACTCTGAATGTTACCTCATATTCTGACTGCAGTGGCTGTGTTTTGTGAAGCGTTTTATTGCGCTAGGATGGAGGCTGGCATTCTAGAATCTTCTTGAAGGTAGGAGCCAATGCTGGCTTCCTTTTATGACATCACTTCCCCCTCAGCGTACTGCCCCGTCCAGCCGCACTGCACTTTACTGAAGATTAATGGTAATTTTATGACATGCCCTCTGAACCGATGTGGGTCTTGTGCTCTTGAGCTGATGATTAAGAGGCAGTTCATGTTTGGTATGTTGGGTTAGCTTTAGGATTGTCCTTTACAGTTTGAACACATTGAGCCAAATCCTGATGAAACCAGCCAGTGTTTATACCCGTTTCTAGTGCGTCAGATTGGGAATTGATGTTGTATATTTTCATTCTGGCAGATCTGGTAAATTCAGACACCGAAGACGATTGATTGCTGGATTGTTGCGTGAGTCTGATTGGTTTCACACTTGGGTTCCTGGTCAGAAGTGCGTGAAGGTACTGGTTGGAGCTTTTGATAAACTGCTGAGTGTCTTTGAAGGAATAGGACATGAGATTAAAGGTCATTGGTGCGGAGATGCACAGATTATCTTATGCGCGTGTTGAATTTAGTGCTTTATTTTTACGTTCCAGAGGTTGTAAATGGTGGTTTGCAAGAGATGCTACAGTGAAAATTGCACTTTTTCTCCGCTCAAGGACTCTGAATGTTACCTCATATTCTGACTGCAGTGGCTGTGTTTTGTGAAGCGTTTTATTGCGCTAGGATGGAGGCTGGCATTCTAGAATCTTCTTGAAGGTAGGAGCCAATGCTGGCTTCCTTTTATGACATCACTTCCCCCTCAGCGTACTGCCCCGTCCAGCCGCACTGCACTTTACGCACGGAGCTTATGGAAACTCCCGCAATGCCTCACAATAAATACTATATGCTAGAGGTCCTTTACTCACCCTTTAATGGCCAATTATGACAGACCTTAGTTTGTGTTTTGACACTACAACCACCAAATTAAGACATTTCAGCATGTGAAACTCTTGAGATGTGTTGTTGGTATAACCTCACTGTTCTCATGCAGCTGAATAAACGCCTGCAGCTGGGAATGAAGCTCTGGGTCACAACCTCTAATCAGACTTCAGTTAATCAGAACACAGAACAATCTATATGGGCTATTTACTTTTCCAGTCATGTAATATACATTGATTCTGTTTATTCTATTTCTATTGGAAACCTAGCAAGTTTAAATGGTACATAAGCTCCATTTATATGATCTTATTTGCTCATTTTGTTTGGATGTTTAAAATGTCTAAAATGGTTTTGATCGTCAGAACGCACTTGTCATGTCTACATGAGGTTTATGTGGATAGGATCACATTTATTTCCCTTTAAACCTGCCATTTGCATTATTAGTGCAAACTTAGACCAGAATCAGTTCTGTAGAAGAAATACAAGTCTAAGCTGATTCTGTATGTGATAAATATTTGAAGTGAATCTCAAGAAGAACATTTTCATTTTTTTTTCCCGGGTATAATATCGCTATATACACATGCATCAGTTCTCTTCTTTGTGTGAGGAAAAGAGCCAAAACTTTTTTTTTTCTTTTTTAAGGAGTGTGTTTGAGATGTGAATGTCTTACATCTCTTATAACATCAAACCTATAGAGTCTCGGCAGAAAAAAATCAGAACGTCAGATTGCCAGTAAGTTAAATCCGATCATGCATCAATTATATGATGTCCAACACAGTGAAGGTAATAATAATAATACTAGCACTAATGAAGAAGTTAAATCAAAATAATCTCAATGAAACAATCCCAAAAAACTGCAACACTTAAGATGTTTATCTTTGTGAATGAAACAAATGATTAAGACCGAGACCTGTTAGGATAATGCTTATGCAATTTTCTTATTCATCAGATTTTCTGGGCATCACAGTCTGAGTGATCAGTTGGACTAATACATGTTCAGTGTAATATTTGGTGCCTCTCAGCACCACATGAGCTAAACCTGTTTTCCAGCATGAGATTTGAAGCAGGGTTATGATTTTTAACTACAAAATAAATTAATATATGCAAAAACTTGATTTTATTTTAGCTTGTTGCCAATGTTTCAAATTTTATTATAATTAATAAATGGACATACAAATAAGCTTTTTTTTCTTTAAATATTTAGCATTTGGGGTGAAATATGACCCAGACACAATGATCAAGTACACTTGAACCTCTCGCTCTGTAAAATATTTAGAAAATGAATGACATGGAAAAATAAACTGAATGATTCACTGCATTCTTGAAAAATTAATAAAAATGTAATACAATGTATATTATATATGGACATATTAAACAATGTATATAAAAAAACATTAAAACATTACTATATATTAAAATAAAAAAGCAACTTGAGAAAATCAGTTTTTTCTAAAACATTGGTTATTCTCATGTTGTATGTGTATGTGATGTATATGATTTTTGTTCTGTCTCAAGCATGTAAAGGTGATTTGATTCCCTCTCTTCAGACACATTCAGATCAGTGTGTGCCTCTGAAGCTGATGTTATTTAACGACACTCGAGTGTGAGGATGATTGTTACATAACATCAGACTGAGAATAAGAACCAACACAGAGGAAAACACACACACACACACTCTCTCAGAGGACGCTGTACAGACAAAAGTGCATTAGAAGCACGTGCAGAATGATGTGTTGTACAGTATGTGTTTCTGCACAGATGCTCGTAAGGTCACTGATCGTCTCTGCAGCAAGAGCATACTGTACTGCAGATGTGTCTCACACACGTGATACCATCAACAGCAGCCAATCACAGCGCAGATCCATCACAACCTCAGCAAGGTCAAATCACTGATATCCGACTTTATTAATATGCGCGATACAGGATAGTCATAACATACTGCGTTACACCAGAGGAAAATGACTTTATAAAAACAACAGGACATTTTTTTAAAAAGTTACTTTTTAAAAGTGTCCATCCATATATTGACAGTTACATGTTTTATTAAAGACAAAAACGTCAAAATAACAAAATCAAAATGCTACATTTCCGTTTCACAGAGTCCAACGTAGAACTCCACGTCTGGAGTTTACATGACAGATTAATAACAAAAACCAAAGGCCAACGTCACAAGTCAGATTAAATCACAAAATTGCCCTATAAAAACAAACAAACTTCATTCTTGTACATTTGAAACACAGTGATTGACGTGAAAGTTTTGTTTGGTTTGTAAAATGAAATCAAACGGGAGTAGAAAGAGTTAAAACATCTATCAAAATATATATGGAAGAGAAGGACACACCCACTGCACAACGTCACCATGACAACAGCATGCACTAATGACTCCTCAATATACAATAGATTCGCCTGTAAGTGCTAGAAACCCGTTTTGCAGAAACACAATCCTGATGACTTATGACATTAGTTTTTTAAATGCAAAAAATAAAACTGTGTGTATATATTATATATGTATGTGTGTGTATATATATATATATGTGTGTGTGTGTGTGTGTATATTATATATATGTGTGTGTGTGTGTATATATTATATATATGTATGTGTGTGTGTATATATATATATATATATATATGTGTGTGTGTATATATTATATATATGTATGTGTGTGTGTGTATATTATATATATGTGTGTGTGTGTGTGTGTGTGATATATATGTATGTGTGTGTGTATAAATAAATAAAAACTATATATATATATATATATATACATATACATACATACATACATACACACACTGGTCCTATTTTTTCCCTAGAGCATTTTTATTATATACATATATGAATTTATTAAAAAAACTATAGAGAAAGAAAAAAAATTTAAAATGTAAAACGTTGATCTGTTAAAAATTTAATTGTAAGAACAGCATTAAAAACAAACCATGATTAAATGTAATCTATCAAAATCCATAAACACTGGAAGCAAATTATTTTCCACCATTAAAAAAAATAAAATAACTTTGAATACCAGTGAAAAACAGCAATAAACGTGAGACTCTAGTGATGCTAATGTCACTGACTAAAACAAATCATGCTCACGCCACAATGGTTTTACCAATGCAAAAATGTATCTAAAAATGCATTATTATTATTATTTTTATTTGAGTAATTCATTAAAAATGCAATGATGATTGCGTCATTGGTAAGAATCATTTTTTCTTTAATTTAACATTTACATTTTACACAGAAATTCATTACGCTTGTGTTTTTAACTGATGCTGAGCTGCCAGACTAAAAAAAAATCATTTTAAATAAATGTAAAAAAAAAAAAAAACACTTGTTAGAAATATCTAATGTGAGGTAAAGATGAATCGCACATTATTGCCCTGGATTAAACCCTGAAAACAAACCAGATCCAGTCGCTCACAGTTAAACTCCTGCGCAGACGCTCGCGTTAAAATAATCGTCCAGTTAACTGCCGTGAAGATGCGTTTGAACGCAGCATAGTCGCTATAGAGTTAAAAATCTGCACAATAGAAACGTCGCTTTTTACATGGTAAGATCATTCTGGAAGAACAACGACACTAGTGGACGGATACAAGCGTATATTTACAGACTCTTCTTTCTTTCAAATCTTCGCAAACCGCAATCGCCCGAAGTGAATAAAGAAAAGAATTGCTTCATATCAAGGGTCATGCTTGTTTTCTGCGAAAAACCTCTTGTACACAAACACCGATGACATGTCAAGTACAAAAAGGAAGAAACAGGTTAAAAACTAGCTGAAAACAGTCGTAAAGTCATGTTTTCCCAAAACACTCTCGGACTGAACGCTAACTTGCCGTCCGCCGTGTGCGACTTTTCCAGTCGGCTGCATTATCTCATCTTCATACCGAATAAACTTCTAAAAACTCACTGCTCGGGTCATATGGGGGTCGTGGAGAGGGCAGAATGAGGTATGAGGAGGCCAGAGGTCAAAGGTTATGCTGTTATCATGTGTTTTGTGTCTTCTAAACCCTTAAAACATCCTCTTAAAAACACGCGCTCGCGTCATTCTCGTCCACTTTCCGCGCGGTGCCACATTACCCACAATCCCCGGCTGTGTAACTGCGGTTTGAATTATAAAGAGACTGATACGTGTCGGGGTGAAGCGCGTCCCTCACAGCGAGCCGTATTTGGCTTCGTACAGCAACATGATCTTCTTGCAGCGGCCGCAGT